TCCCGCCCCACGACGCTCCTCTCAGTACAACGCCAACGCTCAGTACAACGCCAACGATACCGGCGTAGACACAGGCGTGGACACAGGCGTGGACGTGGACATGTTCTGGGAAGAAGACTATGACTGGAATTACAACGCCGCCTACGTCACGCCGCTGAAAAGAATATCTTCCTCGTACCGTCTTCATTGTCACAAGGTGCTGCTGTGTGTGTGTGTGTGTGTGTGTGTGTGTGTGTGTGTGTTGGAGTGTGCGCGCGAGCGATTTGCGTCGTGCTGTCCATATACAGTACTTTTATGAATCGTTGATACCGTGTACTGCAAGTGTGTTAGACATTGTAGCTTATAGGACTAGGTGGCTCATTAGCCCCTCACAGTAGGCCTACTTATAAACTTTTTATAATATGACCAGAGGCAGTAACATCGTGTACCCTACACACACACAGACCCCATCATAACTTATATATATATATATATATATATATATATATATATATATATATATATATATATATATATATATATATATATATCTTACCACTTAAGAGAATGCACTTCATATATCGCTCATTTAGGATTGTGTTGTATCCTTCCCAAATGTCGTATTTCAATAATCATAAATTATATCCTCGCAAGTTTAAAATAGAAATTCCTCGCGGCTGCGTCAGGCGCGCCCCCTGCTCCCCCTATTCTGATCCCGGTGACATTGTGTAAGGATGGATTATGCCTCCTGAGTTTATTTTGAGTGCTGGCAAGGCTTCCCTCGGACTCCTCGCCCCTGTTTTGTTTTGGTTACGAATTCCTGCTTTTTTTTTACACTCGCGGCTTTTGTTTTTGCGGGAACAACAGCGTGTTCTGGGCGGGAAGACTGGCTGCCGCTTTGAGATTTGGTATTGGGGGTAAAAGCCTAGCGACATCTTTGTGGGGGCGCGTCCGGTTAAGGTCGCTACAATATTGAAATTGAAATAAGTTTATTGAGGTAAAATACACACAAAGGGGTGAGGTAGCTCAAGCTATTCTCACCACGTTCAGTACATCGTGTTAATACATACATAGACACACATCACAAGCAATAAACGTATTACCGAACATTCTGAGAGATAAATATATACATTTCCTACGCCACAATACCTTACTAACTAACCGGAAAGTTTACTGAAGCCTAGGACATAGACCAGCACTGTGGTAAACTCATTGTATGTACACAGAGAAGCTGGGTACACCTCTCTGTGTACGTGTACACCTTGTCGGCGTTAATAGAGATGGTTTCATCGGTCATGCACATTGCAAGAAGTAATTATCAAAAGAATTCTAGAAACCATTATGGCTATATAGCTTTAATAAGAAAAAAATATAAAAATTATCCTGGGAATGGTCCAACCACTTGGGCTGGACGGTAGAGTGACGGTCTCGCTTCATGCAGGTCGGTGTTCAATCCCCCGACCGTCCACAAGTGGTTGGGCACCATTCCTTTCCCCCGTCCCATCCCAAATCCTGCCCCCCTTCCCAGTGCTATATAGTCATCTTGACTTGGCGCTTTCTCTCTGATAGTTCCCCTTTCCTCTGAGAATAGCAAGAGTTAATTATTTGTAGGATCTTACCCTCATTTACCGTTACCAATGTTCTCTTAAACCGGGAGCTCTATTATGTTGTTATCTTCGTTAATGAGGCTATGTCGCTAATGCAATAACTTCTCTGATGGGGCTGTACCGTTACAGGTGTGTTCTGTACCTGTACCACCTGACGGTACAGGGGTCCGTAGCCACCTGCGGACCCCTATATATATATATATATATATATATATATATATATATATATATATATATATATATATATATATATATATATATATATATATTAGTATATTTTGGTAGCAGTCTTTCCTGTAGACATATATTATTAAATATGACCGAAAAAGTAAGATTAATAATTCTAACACGAATTTTCTCAATCTTTCGTACATTACGCTTCACTGTTGGAGGTAAATCAAAAATCACTTCTCCAAAATTCATTTTTATTTCTAGTCTGACGCGACACGGGCGCGTTTCGTAAAACTTATTACATTTTCAAAGACTTCACAAATACACAACTGATTAGAACTTGCGTTTCCCTGATTTTATATCTACATTTGAGTGAGGTGGGAAGGATGATGTGGCATTAACACAAGACAGAACACTAGGGGATATTAATAGGGTATTAAAAGTATCAACACAAGACAGAACAGAAACAATGGGTATTGAATAGAAGTGTTTGTAGAAAGCCTATTGGTCCATATTTCTTGATGCTTCTATATTGGAGCGGAGTCTTGAGGTGGGTAGAATATAGTTGTGCAATAATTGGCTGTTGATTGCTGGTGTTGACTTCTTGATGTGTAGTGCCTCGCAAACGTCAAGCCGCCTGCTATCGCTGTATCTATCGATGATTTCTGTGTTGTTTACTAGGATTTCTCTGGCGATGGTTTGGTTATAGGAAGAGATTATATGTTCCTTAATGGAGCCCTGTTGCTTATGCATCGTTAAACGCCTAGAAAGAGATGTTGTTGTCTTGTTGAAGACAACAACATCTCTTTCTAGGCGTTTAACGATGCATAAGCAACAGGGCTCCATTAAGGAACATATAATCTCTTCCCATAACCAAACCATCGCCAGAGAAATCCTAGTAAACAACACAGAAATCATCGATAGATACAGCGATAGCAGGCGGCTTGACGTTTGCGAGGCACTACACATCAAGAAGTCAACACCAGCAATCAACAGCCAATTATTGCACAACTATATTCTACCCACCTCAAGACTCCGCTCCAATATAGAAGCATCAAGAAATATGGACCAATAGGCTTTCTACAAACACTTCTATTCAATACCCATTGTTTCTGTTCTGTCTTGTGTTGATACTTTTAATACCCTATTAATATCCCCTAGTGTTCTGTCTTGTGTTAATGCCACATCATCCTTCCCACCTCACTCAAATGTAGATATAAAATCAGGGAAACGCAAGTTCTAATCAGTTGTGTATTTGTGAAGTCTTTGAAAATGTAATAAGTTTTACGAAACGCGCCCGTGTCGCGTCAGACTAGAAATAAAAATGAATTTTGGAGAAGTGATTTTTGATTTACCTCCAACAGTGAAGCGTAATGTACGAAAGATTGAGAAAATTCGTGTTAGAATTATTAATCTTACTTTTTCGGTCATATTTAATAATATATATATATATATATATATATATATATATATATATATATATATATATATATATATATATATATATATATATATATATATATATATATATATATATATATATATATATATATATATATATATATATATATATATATATATATATATATATATATATATATGAAAATGAAAACTCACACCCCAGAAGTGACTCGAACCCATACTCCCAGAAGCAACGCAACTGGTAACTACAGGGCGCCTTAATCCGCTTGACCATCACGGCCGTTAAAGGAAGTGATAGCCGAGGCTATTTGAGCCACTTCCCCGACGGCAACTCGGATGGTAATCTTGGGCATAGCATTTCACCAAACCACCTCATTCTTTGGGGCACACGTGAGGAACACAAATGCGAACAAGCCTGAATGGTCCCCAGGACTATATGCGAATGAAAACTCACACCCCAGAAGTGACTCGAACCCATACTCCCAGAAGCAACGCAACTGGTAACTACAGGGCGCCTTAATCCGCTTGACCATCACGGCCGTTAAAGGAAGTGATAGCCGAGGCTATTTGAGCCACTTCCCCGACGGCAACTCGGATGGTAATCTTGGGCATAGCAAGCGGATTAAGGCGCCCTGTAGTTACCAGTTGCGTTGCTTCTGGGAGTATGGGTTCGAGTCACTTCTGGGGTGTGAGTTTTCATTCGCATATAGTCCTGGGGACCATTCAGGCTTGTTCGCATATATATATATATAATATATATATATATATATATATATATATATATATATATATATATATATATATATATATATATATTATATATATATATATGCGAACAAGCCTGAATGGTCCCCAGGACAATATGCAACTGAAATCATATTTATATATATATATATATATGTATATATATATATATATGTGTGTGTGTGTGTGTAAATCACGAAAATTAGATTGCGACAGGAATTTCCTCAAGTACTTTCGCATTTAATAATACATCTTCAGATTACAGAGCAGTAGCTTGGATATAGAGGCAGGAAAGCAGTGAGGTGAGGAACAATGTCATTAATGAGATTAAGGGATATTAATAAGGCATTAGTGAGATAAATGTGTATCAGTGATCTTACTCAAATCACCCCGTAACCTCCACCAGAGGCTCTAGGTTATCAAATCGCTCTGAGATCCCCTTAATCTCATTAATGTCATTGCACCTCACCTCACTTCCACTTTCCCGCCTATATATCCATACCTACTGATCTGTAAATCCTTACGGGCTAATCATGCCCATGCCACCTCTTGGCTGGCTTAATCTTCATCAATCAATCTGTAAATCCATCTTTTTTCACGGGAGACATCTCCCGTCACGCAGGGTGCAGTCGCACCTCCACAGATCTCCAGTATCATCTATTGATACTGGAAATGGCTCAAAAGGGCCACCACTTATGGGCTATTCATGCCCAAGCCACCTTTTGGCTTAATCTTCTCTCTCTCTCTCTAAATCCATCTTTCTGAAGATGTATTATTAAATAGGAAAGTATTTAAGGAAATACTAATTGTAAGTTTTTGTACGACTGCCCCTGTTGAGTTCAGTCGCAACTAAGAATTTGTGTAAATCATTTACGATCCAGCTTTTGATTCTAAGTCTGTGTTGTACTTGACCGACCTCGGGCTGGGCGTCTCGCTCCCTTCACCAGTGAGAAATGTCATAATATTGACACGTTGTGAAACATTGACAGCCGGAAAATAGTCATTGGCCGTGACAGCTAGCTGCAAGCACGTGGAGAGGCATTTGTTTAACAAGAAACTTTTTTGATTGTGTTACAGGCGGCGGTGGCCGGGCTGCTGGGGGAGTATGTGGCCCGGCTTAGCGAAGTGGCCGGCTCCCTCATCACCTGCGGGCCCGTCCTCAACTGGCTGGAGCTCGACAACCGCGGCCATCGTCTCATCGTCACCGACGACTCCGACATCAACACCCCCGCCGTCGCCGCCGCCTACGTGATCAAGCGCTACATCGCCCAGGCTTCGGACGAGATCTCCTTCGAGGTAGGTACCCTGGGTCTTGGTTGGTTGGTCAGTGGCTGGGCTCGGTGATCCGTTAACCTCTGGGTGGTTATTGAGGCTTATTAGCCTTTGGAGCGGTTATTATTAAGGCCTTTTAGCCTCTGGGGGGTTGAGATCTGTCAACCTTTGGAGGGTTATTAAGGCCTATCAACCTCTGGAGGGTTATTAAGGCCTATCAACCTCTGGAGGGTTATTGAGGCCTATCAACCTCAGGAGGGTTATTAAGACCTATCAACCTCTGGAGGGTTATTGAGGCCTATCAACCTCTGGAGGGTTATTAAGGCCTATCAACCTCAGGAGGGTTATTAAGGCCTATCAACCTCAGGAGGGTTATTAAGGCCTATCAACCTCAGGAGGGTTATTAAGGCCTATCAACCTCTGGAGGGTTATTAAGGCCTATCAACCTCTGGAGGGTTATTAAGGCCTATCAACCTCTGGAGAGTTATTAAGGCCTATCAACCTCAGGAGAGTTATTAAGGCCTATCAACCTCAGGAGGGTTATTAAGGCTTATCAACCTCTGGAGGGACCGTAATATTACTAATAAACCAACAATAATACTTCAGATCTAACCATAGTCGAGGACTCCAGTAGACTCGATATAGATACACGGAGAATATAGCTCCACCTCTGTGTTACGGGAAGCACAAATATATCCCTGTTGCCGAGTAGTCGCAAAACTGAATCATTTTACCGAAAAGCAAACTTGATATAGAATATAGGAACAGTGAAACGCTATATACTGTACCACCGTTTTCTGAACTACAAATCATTATAAACTACTTTTTCCTGGTAAATTTATATTTTTATGAGGCCAAATTCGTTAAATAAACTAAATGGCATTAATAACACTGCCCAGTTAACTTCATGGCGAAATTTTAACAAATTTAATACCGAACGTCGGTTGATTTGCTGTAGTGTGTCCTACACGATATCTAATACAATAACCCATTTTCTATTAACTATTCCTATCCTTAGTGGATGTAAGAGACTATTGGATAGCCATTTAATGATAGTCCAGTCATTAGGAGCACCGAAATGCGGCTTTTTTATCCTTTTTAAAAGGTTTATTTGAGCGTTGTAATTCCAACTATTTACGTAAATATTAAATTCATGTGATATGTCGACTCGTGAAGCCTCACTGCCGACCAAATCTTAGACTAGCAATTAAGGGAGTGAACAGTCATTAGGCGTTCCCTGAAGAGATACCCTATAGTTCACACACAGTTTTATCTTTTCGTTTTGTTCCAGTTTGTTTCGGTGTTAATCTGAAAAAAAGGCTTCGGGTGGGGGGGAGGGAGATGTTGTTTAAACAATATCTGGAGAACAAATTAGTGTAGTTCCTTCAAGCTGTCTCTACTGGTCGACATCAGCGTCGGTAGCACCAGGAAATTGTGCAATATTGTGCGACAGGGAAAGAGTCGAAGTGCTTTGTGCAGGTCGGGGTTGGAGGTTGTCTAATCTGATGTGTTTAGGACGTGCGGGGCGCAAGTCCAAAGCCCCCGCAAGCTTAGGACGTGCGCAAGTCCAAACCTTGGGGGCTGTAAGGGATTCTTAGTCGGCGTGGGGCTCCTTACCCCCCTTATTAAAAATAACTCTTAAGCCCACTGAGAACCCTTTATAGCAGTCGAACGTGATATAATTATAGTTTTAGCAAGAAGAGTTAAAAAGGTATTCGCTTTATATTTGCAATGTGTATGTCATAGAGCTTATAAACCATAGTATATGGTTCGTAAATTTGTATATCCCTCGCCCAAGGCTTTTCCAAGAGCTCAAATATACTTTACTTTTGCCCATCGCATTCTTCATCTCAAGTATCAGAAGCAGCTCGTAGCCCGCTATATCGGGGGTAAGAGACCACATTGTTAGAGCAGCCATTAGTTGTGTGTGTGTGGGGGGTGGGAGGGGGTTAATGAGGGCGGAGGTTGTTAATAAAACCGTACTTGAGTGGTGGTTGTGTTCAACTGAGCATGAACATGTAATGATTAACTCTGGCATCCAAACACCCCATTCAAACTCTTATGAAACACTAAGCCCGGAGACAGAACCTTCACTTAACGGGTATTAAAAAAAATATCATAGTTATGCATTAATGTTAATGAAATTGTAAGACAAACTAGCCAAAGAGGGAAACACTTAAAGAAAACGTGGATGCCAGTGCCCTGGCCAACACTAGCAAACTACAAAGGACTCTTAAAATAGGATGGATACGCAGATCCTTACGGGGACACAGCCCTCATTATCACATCCTCATCAGCTGCCGGGCACAGAGATGGTACCCGGTACACACACCAACAGAGTTGAAGAACGAATAAGACACAGACTGGGGCCTAGGCTCTCCACATACGTGTAGGAGATTGGTATCAACACAACAATATATGCAAATATTATTGACGACCAATTGGACATTGCCTGAACCGCTACTTGTTCAACTGTAACAAGATTCAACACCTAAAGAACCACCTGCCAGGCTTGGGGAGTAGAAGAACTCCCAGAACACCATCAACCAGGTATCAACTTGCAAATTTGATCACTGGCAGATGGAACCAAAACTGTTTCATGCAATTTTAAACAACTCTTATAGTACCAATTCTCGTGAAATTAGTAAAATATGCAAACAAATATACCAATTAATACAGATCTGTGCAAAGGAAATGTTATTCTTTTTAAATACAGGAGAAAAAAAAACAGAGAGACGCTTGCAGTGTGGTGGCGGAGGTCTGTGGCTGGGGTTACTTCACAGGCATCTCCAGCCTGTGAATGCCTGGTGTTGTGTAGAGTGGAACTCCTTGTGAGTGTTGAGTAGTGTTGACTCCCTTGTTGTCTACTTGCTAAATATCTCACCACAAGCGCCCTGGTGTGTGTCCCTGGCAGGCAGCCGGGCTGGGGCTACACGAACCAAGGGACACAGATGGCAAGGAAGTGTCCAGATGAGCCACAGACATTTAGAGTCTCTAGGATGGTGAGCAAGTGGGATGCGCCACGAAGCGAAGTGGTGGAGATAAACTCCATACACGGCTTTAAGTGTAGCTATGACACAGCTTAATAGGCTCTGAAACCTATACACCAGTCGATAAAGGGTTGAGAGTATAAATAACACACACACACATTAGGGGGGGCCCTGATAGCTGAGTGGACATCGCTCTTTGCTCGTAATACTAGGGGTCCGGGTTCGATCCCCGGTAATGGGAGAGATAAAATGGGCAGAAATTTGAGTTCAATTTCCCGAACAGAAACTTCTTTGGCCAAAATAGACTCGTCTATTACAGTAAGGTACCAAACAGGGAGAGCAAACTGTTGGTGTTGGGCAATACACGAGAGGCTGCACGCTACAACACTCCCCAACAGAGGTTACAGTGTTAAATGTGGGTGCTCCCTGACCCCGTCCCGCGGTGCCCGGGGCGGATGTCCACCTTCCTGTAGAGTACTGATGTTGCCAGCGCCCTCTGTGTCTGCTCTGTCAGGCACAGAGCACAAGAGCCACGAGGAACAGTGTGTGGCTACGTCAGATCGCAGACACCTTAGTGACACAAGCTCGGCATGGAGACAGGCAGACTGGGAGAGAGAGAGAGAGAGAGAGAGAGAGAGAGAGAGAGAGAGAGAGAGAGAGAGAGAGAGAGAGAGAGAGAGAGAGGAGGGGGGGGGGTTTCTAAGACATTTGAAAAGTTTGACCTGACTTGGTTATCGCTACTCTTTAAATAAACCTAATCCAACCCAATCCCTTTCCATCCCATCTCATCTCGCCCTATCCTGTCGTATCCCATCTTAAGCTAACGAAAAGATGAGATCAAATGTTGTTTTATAGCGTGGACGAGATGTTTGACGTCACTGTGACGTCACACCTTTCATGCCGGCACGGGTTTTGGACGCTACTGGACTGAAAGAAGTTGACTGTTGACTGGACGCAACATAAAAATATATATTCCCAATGGTGCGGCGTCAAAGAGTAATGTTAATTTTACATAGAATCGCCGCCCGACGTTGAATTGACGTCACTCTTGGATATTGTACTCGACTAACTGTGCTTGCGGGGGTTGAGCTCTGGCTCTTTGGTCCCGCCAATAGTGTGGCCCACAAGACCTGCTATAGGCCTACTTAATGTATTCAAGGTAAAAATAAATAGTGGTTAAGGTAAGAATTAAAGGTATGGACGCAATAGTGTAATCAGATTCGAATGATGCACTTTTTAACTTGTATATGTTGAACTGACCCGAGGGTCATTAATACTAGTGGCCTCGACGATGACAGGAAGCCGGCGGCTTGTCAACGGTAGCCCTCATTTGCCCTGACGATCTTCCCTGGTTGTATTTTAAAACCGAGTAGAGTTTTGTCGTTAACGGCTTCGGCGAGTAGGCGGTTCCACGGGTTTAGAACCCGTATGGGTGAAAAGGCATCTCATGTTGTCTGTCCAACACTGTGGCTTGTTGAGCGTGAATCCGTTGCTCCTCGTTCGTGTTACATCTGACCTTTTGAAGGCATTGTCCGGATCGACATGCTCCAAATTGTTCAGTATTTTGAAGGTTTCGACGAGATCCGCCCTGTCATGCCTGGTTTGTAGTGTTGTTAGCCCTGTGGCCCTCAACCGTGCCTGGTACACGTCAGGAACGGCTCAATAAACTTATTTCAATTCAATTTCAATCAGGAACAGCCATACCGTTCACTAACCAGTGGAGAATTGCTATGCTGAGTACACGAGTGATACTTGAATGTATATTGGTGCACCACCTGACTCGCCACTGTGAGTTAAAATGTCACCATGCCACTTGTGGAAGCACTGGCCAGCGGTCAGCACAAACACAGACTACGAGGGTTCGAGCCCCGAGCGCTCACGAGTAGCATGTTTTCCCGCTACTTCGTGTAGAGACTGTAGACCCTCCAGGCCTCCAGCACACATGTCCAACCCAGCTTTAGCTTTCAACATGTCGCGTTCCTTCATCCTTGGCACTGCCAGCAGTTTCCAGTTACCGCCAATCAATAACTTAGC